AGCATATGCTGTTTTTTTCAACAGGGAATATATAGAGGGGGAAAAAACATATATAAATGTTTTAATGAATGTACAGGTATGTATTTGTAATAAAAACACAGTAACCACACATTTGCCATCGTTTTGCTACAGTGACCATGTTTAAAATATTGTATTTGTAATAAAGCCTGTTACTAGATTACCACATTGTTTAATTTTCAGTCCTGGACACTCTTATAGAATGCTTAGAAAAGGGTACAAATCTTATAATTTCATGCTTAATTTACGACTTTCATTTTGGGTTTGATCAGTTCATTATAAATGCTTCTTGTAGTAATCATGCTGTGTGTGTTCAGATGCTGAGCATGAAAGCGCAGGTGGATGTGCTCTGCTGTAAATCAGTAGGAACTGATCTGTCCATGCTGGAGATTGAGGATTTCATCTCAGAAATCTGTGGGCTGAAGAAAGAGGTGGCGTCACTGGAGGCAAAGCTGAGAGAAAGAGGAGAGGTTTGAGCAGCTCTTCATCCTTCAGCTCCATCACTCAATGAGACTTCTGTTACACACCAAACGTCTGAGTCGTGAGGTTAATATCACCAGCTGGTTGTTTATTAGTGTTTATCTGTGATGTGTTCCTCAGGATCTGGAGCAGGTTTCGGTGCGCGTGGCTGACGGGACAGAAGCTCAGGATTCAGTCTGGAGCGTCAGAGATCAGAGATCCAGAGACACACAGGACTCGGAGCTCAGCCTCACTCTGCTGTGTTATACTGACGCTCAGGATCATGAATCCACTGATCAAACCTCTGACCGTAACGCTGGAGAACAGCAGATGCTGCAGGCGCCGCTGAAGATGTGCTCCGTCAAACTGCTGGACTGCAGGAACCTGATCGAGAGCCGAGGAGAAGAGACCACCGCAGAGGAAGAGGAGGAGGAGGAGGATGATGAAGATTTCATTCCTCCAGGTTTGATTCTTCCTTTTATGACCCTTTGTAGTTTTTCATGGCGCTTGAATGTCAGCAGAGATTCGGGTTCATATTGGCTGATGGTCTCTGATGGTCTGATCAGGTTTGAGAGAAGATCTTTTTAGATATTTGGGATCATTTCGCCTAACTCTCGCATGCTCTTTAAAACATCTCCTCCCCCTCCTTCATCAACTCTAACAGCTGACGACTATGCCACATTCTTCATTAATAAAATTACAAACCTCAATGCACAATTTGCCACACCACAACCTGTCAAGACCATCTTACCAGCAAACATACACTCGTTCACATCCTTCTGTTCACTCTCTGAGGCAGAAGTCTCCAAACTCATCCTTCCCAATCATCCTATTCCATCTCATCTCCTTCAAGCCATTTCTCCTGCCGTTGTACCTGCACTCACTCACATCGTTAACACATCCCT